CAAGTAAATTATATTCACGCCTTTCCTTTGTACTGTTAATTATATCCCGTCCATCATCCCGCTTACTTTGTTCCAGCCAGTTATACATAACGTGCACATTGGGGTCCCTAACACGCAATTACCTATAGTAAAGTCATTGATAATCCCCGCTAACAAGCATTTTATTTATCACAAATTTAATAACTCCATTTAATATCAGGCACTCAAACTAACAGTCCGACCAATCATTTACAGTCCATGTATGCTTGTGGTGAGTGAGTGAGTATGGTTTTACGCCGCTTTTAGCAATATTCCAGCAATATCACGGCGGGGGACAACAGAAATGGGCTTCACACATTGTACCCATGTCGGGAATCGAACCCGGGTCTTCGGCGTGACGAGCGAACGCTTTATCCACTAGGCTACCCGACCGCCCAACTTGTGGTGATAGGTGATCTGACTGGGTAACCTGGTTGATTGCGTGTCTTCGTATCTGACGCGGCACTGGACGCTTCACATAACATCAATCACTGGATGATCTGGTCCAGACTAGATTACTAACAGGTCGGCGTCACATATAGCTGGATTATTTCTGAGCGCGGCGTTTGAAAACAAACAAACAAACAAACAAAACACACGATGCAAAGTGGCAGTACCGTGGGGGTCTTGTGGTTAAAGGGGGAGAATTGTAATTTGAAACTCTGAATTTTTACTATACAGGTGTGTGTGCGGTCGATAGACATTGCTATTTGTCACCGTTGTCAAATACGACGGAAAAATAAAAATAAACTATATAACAACACTGTTTACTCTGTAATCACAAAACAACAAAATATTTCAATTTCGGATCGACTTTCCCCTTGGATAACACATTGTGTCGAGTTCGAGTTGACAGGGGTTCGCCGTCTTGCAAAACGTACGGGCAAACAGATACTTTATAATCACCAATCTTTTATTCAACGGCATGTACATTAAATGACATCATCGCAGAATGTATAATGTAAACAGTAAGTGATTCATCAGCTTTTGGGGTCAATTGGTCCAACAATAATGTACAAAGGATTCTGTCGGGGCTCTGAGGTTAAATTGCCTTAAAGGATATGTCGACTTCGAGTTAAGGAAGGTATGCTGTCTTTACAAAAATGACAGGAAAACCGATATTGTTTGACCATTATTTTTCATATCTCTAAGCAAATCTATATACCGACATTTGAACATTTGAGATAAAACTTCCAGACGACCACAGCTGACACTACAACTGCCTTTCTACGGTAACTGGGGTATCATTGGGTGTGGACAGCACCCGCAACTCATTCTTACACTTCACCATGAATGCGGTAGGTTATACTTTCCCCACTACTCGGAACATTCTGACCAGCAAAATACACCCCTATATCTACTGACCACATTCTTCACAGGGAAAGTCCAGCATAGCATGGCTTTCTGGGAATGGAGCCCACGTGACCACGGACAGTTGTAATGTGTAACCCATGTCCAGGCACCTTGGTCGTCCAGGTATATCAGGGCGGAAGGACTGTTTAATATTACATCGAAGTCATCGGGTCTATCGAATATACATTGTATATATCGCGATTTGAGACTACAGTGCCAAACAAGCAGGATTTCACATTAGGGATGATTTCTATCTAAAATACTCCCAATAATATTTTCGATTAGTCGTGTATATTTTTCAGTGATTTCTACCTCCTGCAAAAACATACATTGGACTGTTACAGAAATAGTTGATTTATTATAACAGAATGTTCAGCACATAATCTTTTGTTAATATCTTGTAGACAAGTTCACGTATAAATTGTGCTCCTGACGCAGTGAGTCATAATGACGCCCACTTTTCATTGGCCAGGCGAAACGCCAAGAATGTTTAAGTCGGGACAATAAAGCTGTACTGCAGTATCGTCCTAGGGAATATATGATCGAGTGTTATTATATGACTATGTCGTTAAGGGATTTCAACCACGAACGTACTATTGAGTCCATTTTGGGTTTCTATCACGCTGTTGATTTTTTGTTTGTTTGTTTGTTTGCACTCAACAATATTCCAGCTATATGACGGCGGTCTGTAAATAATCGAGCCTGGACAGGATAATCCAGTGATTGACACCATGGGCATCGATCCACTCAATGGGGATACGAAGACATGCATCAGCCAAGTCAGCGAGCCTGACCTCCCGAATCCCGTTAGTCGTTAAATTTAGAGCTATATCATTACCTTATGGCCCGGGGGATGGGAAACTAATATGGGTCAGAGACTGTGAGACAGATTAATGACAAACACACATATATATACATACATACATATCCATAAAACCTCAACAGATAAGTCATAAGAGAAAATCTACCACATCTATGTTTTATCAGTTTATATTGCACAAACGCATGCCAACTTTACAGAAAAAAGAGAGTTGTCGCCCTTAGGGAGAAACGTCTCACACAATGCTTCTGAAGCCAACCGGACAATCTGTTGTATACTACCATGCATATACACATACTAAGTCTATTTTCAAACGTGTTTTATACATATATCAGTGTATCAGAGCTGACTAATATGGTTTAAACACAAGTTTAGAGAAACAGTGTTTTCCTTTAAAAAAAAGTATTAAATTTCTTACTAGAATACTTTAATTCAATATATCATTAGTATACTCTAGAAAGTTATGACAGGTCCTTTCGCATGTTGAACCCCAAGATCGAGAGAGGGAAATTTCTAAATTTATAGAATAATTCTGCATAAACGAGCCGTATGCTTTTCTCTTGACCAATTGTGATTTTATTCTTTATATGTTTTCTACGTTAGAGAAGTCAGCAGTGTTCAGAATAGAAACCTTTTAAACAATGTCATGATTTGACGCTTATGCTGGATTTACCAGGCAACCAATGATCAAAGTGTTAAGGACCAGGTGACATCGGGTTTAGCTCTCCTCATTGAGATACATTATTACATCAATTCGTCGCTTTTCAACCAATGGAATCAAAGTTGTACAGTTGACCCATATTATGGCTGAATATTCAGATTAATGTTTGTTTTGTTTTTTTGTTTTTAGAAAGGTTAATATCTTTATCAGTGGTCATGCATTTATCGTTTTCTTTCTTATATAGTTCAATGTCCAATGTGTAGGACATTTTGATTTTATGACGTACCTTTGGCCAAGATAGCGTATCAACGAATTCAATAAGTTTTGCTTCCATTTGTTTTTTCGTCAATCATCGTAAACCCCTTCCTTGGAAGGTAGCCTAGTGATTTTACGGCCGCTTCAGAACATACCACATACTTTTGTGTTCTACACCTGCACCGATACGTGGATCTGGGGCAATTATAACAACTGAGTAAATAGTTTACACATCATTTCATTTTTTTGCATTAAGATACCGACATACATTTTAAATACTTTTCTAATGGATCACTGCGTATCTCAATATGGGGAATCGAACCACGGTTTTCCAAGCGAGGAGCGAACGCTCAAACCACTGATACCAGCATGTCCAGCGTAGCGAGCAATTTGTAGATAACCAACCCAGTGAACAAATTATCTATTTCCATCTGTTTATCGGGAAGAAAATAGCAGAGTTCCTGATATCTTTTTGAGCAATTGAGTTTTTACTTGAAGGTTTCTATTTCCATTGGATTATTACATTTTCCATTGGGTAAACAATGTCACTCTATTGAGTTTTTCCCAAAACAAGTGAACATTTTAAGATTTAAAAAAATGAAATATCTTTTAGATGTATATAACGGTTCTAAATATAGGTTGACTTGGAAAGTGAATAAGCTCGTAATTGTGTTTCGGAAATTAGCTCCGTTGTACACATTGGGTATTTACGCGTGCTGTTTTCAAACAATTGAGTTTTTCATTTTATGCATGTGTTTCCGTACGCAAGTTAATTGAAAGTAAATGGGTTTTGAATAGTTTTGGGGGGTATTTTACACAAATACGCAGCTTACCTGTAGCTCTGAAAATATTCCCCCAAATCCCACCCACCACTACCATAAACACTAATGAGACAACGAGACGAGACACTGAAGTACTGGCGATTTGACTTCAACCCACCCGTTACAACCATACAGCTTACTTTTGAAAGCGGCGTTTTAACCAATTTCACTCACTAAATATAACTCTAAACATTAGTCTGGTGATATGTGATTATGTTACACATTATATGTCAGAACAATATTATCTAAATAATATATTAATTCACTTACCTTATCGTTATTTTCAACGGTACCTCAGAAATCAAGTTCTTCGTGGATAACTTTCATAATGCACATCCAAAACCAAATCTTCCAAAATACCGTTCACTGAAGCGCGCAAGTGCTATAAATATTAACATTAAGTGTTTAAGATCATGTTCATATCGATTCTAAATATAACCTCACCAGTTTGTTTCAATTATTATGAAATGCCCCGACGCAGTTGTTCAATATACGTAACGTCTGCTTCCATTCTGAGTCTGGAATTAACGCGCAGGAAAAACTCGTGCACCGGAAGTGAGTTCCTATTGGTTCATATCGTAACCATAACATCACGTGACAATACTAGCGAACACCTGCGTGAAATGTACAACTCGATTTGACATTTGTTTATGTTCATAATGTAGTTTGAAAAGACGATTTCAGGTAAGGATGGCCAAGTGGTTAAAGCGTTGAATTGTCCCACCGAAAGCCCGTGTTCGATTTCCAACATGAGTACGGAATGTGAAGCCAATTTGGTGTCTCCTGTGATATTGCTAGGACAGTGCCGATTACAGGGATATACATAACTCAATCACTCATTTAAAGTGGCACAGCACTCCACGGCATAAGAAACGTTAACAATTTTGGGAGTTTCTAGTTTCATGTTTTAACAAAACGCAGCCAACATGGCCGTTTGTGATAAACTTAATTTGAACACTCAAACCATGAGAAATGACTTTTAACGATAACAAACGTAATTCACATACAGAACGATCTCTGATGAGTTTAAGGCGATAAAAGCACTGTAACATCGACATTTAGCACAAGATTATCACCTTGCAGAAAAAAATGCACTGAGCAGAGGCGGACCCAGAGGCCGTGGGTTGTAGGGGCAGAGGCGGATCCAGAGGCCGTGGGTTGTAGGAACAGAGGCGGACCCAGAGGCCATGGGATGTAGGGGCAGAGGCGGATCCAGAGGCCATGGGCTGTAGGGGCAGAGGCGGATCCAGAGGCCATGGGCTGTAGGGGCAGAGGCGGATCCAGAGGCCATGGGCTGTAGGGGCAGAGGCGGATGCAGAGGCCATGGGCTGTAGGGGCAGAGGCGGATCCAGAGGCCATGGGCTGTAGGAACAGAGGCGGATCCAGAGGCCATGGACTGTAGGAACAGAGGCGGATGTAGAGGCCATGGGCTGTAGGGGCAGAGGCGGATGCAGAGGCCATGGGCTGTAGGAACAGAGGCGGATCCAGAGGTCATGGGCTGTAGGGGCAGAGGCGGATCCAGAGGCCATGGGCTGTAGGAACAGAGGCGGATGCAGGGCCATGGGCTGTAGGAACAGAGGCGGATCCAGAGGTCATGAGCTGTAGGGGCAGAGGCGGATGCAGAGGCCATGGGCTGTAGGAACAGAGGCGGATCCAGAGGCCATGGGCTGTAGGGGCAGAGGCGGATCCAGAGGCCATGGGCTGTAGGGGCAGAGGCGGATCCAGAGGCCATGGGCTGTAGGAACAGAGGCGGATGCAGAGGCCATGGGCTGTAGGGGCAGAGGCGGATCCAGAGGTCATGGGTTGTAGGGGCAGAGGCGGATCCAGAGGCCATGGGCTGTAGGGGCAGAGGCGGATGCAGAGGCCATGGGCTGTAGGGGCAGAGGCGGATCCAGAGGCCATGGGCTGTAGGAACAGAGGCGGATGCAGAGGCCATGGGCTGTAGGGGCAGAGGCGGATCCAGAGGCCATGGGCTGTAGGAACAGAGGCGGATCCAGAGGCCATGGGCTGTAGGGGCAGAGGCGGATCCAGAGGCCATGGGCTGTAGGGGCAGAGGCGGATCCAGAGGCCATGGGCTGTAGGGGCAGAGGCGGATCTAGAGGCCATGGGCTGTAGGAACAGAGGCGGATCCAGAGGCCATGGGCTGTAGGGGCAGAGGCGGATCCAGAGGCCATGGGCTGTAGGGGCAGTGGCGGATCCAGAGGCCATGGGCTGTAGGAACAGAGGCGGATGCAGAGGCCATGGGCTGTAGGGGCAGAGGCGGATCCAGAGGTCATGGGTTGTAGGGGCAGAGGCGGATGCAGAGGCCATGGGCTGTAGGGGCAGAGGCGGATCCAAAGGTCATGGGTTGTAGGGGCAGAGGCGGATGCAGAGGCCATGGGCTGTAGGAACAGAGGCGGATGCAGAGGCCATGGGCTGTAGGGGCAGAGGCGGATCCAGAGTCCATGGGCTGTAGGAACAGAGGCGGATCCAGAGGCCATGGGCTGTAGGGGCAGAGGCGGATCCAGAGGCCATGGGCTGTAGGGGCAGAGGCGGATCCAGAGGCCATGGGCGGTAGGGGCAGAGGCGGATCTAGAGGCCATGGGCTGTAGGGGCAGAGGCGGATCCAGAGGCCATGGGCTGTAGGGGCAGAGGCGGATCCAGAGGCCATGGGCTGTAGGGGCAGAGGCGGATCCAGAGGCCATGGGCTGTAGGAACAGAGGCGGATCCAGAGGCCATGGGCTGTAGGGGCAGAGGCGGATCCAGAGGCCATGGGCTGTAGGAGCAGAGGCGGATCCAGAGGCCATGGGCTGTAGGAACAGAGGCGGATCCAGAGGCCATGGGCTGTAGGGGCAGAGGCGGATCGAAAGGCCATGGGCTGTAGGGGCAGAGGCGGATCGAAAGGCCATGGGCTGTAGGAGCAGAGGCGGATCTAGAGGCCATTGGCTGTAGGAGCAGAGGCGGATCCAGAGGTCATGGGCTGTAGGGGCAGAGGCGGATCCAGAGGCCATGGGCTGTAGGGGCAGAGGCGGATCCAGAGGCCATGGGCTGTAGGGGCAGAGGCGGATCGAAAGGCCATGGGCTGTAGGAGCAGAGGCGGATCCAGAGGCCATGGGCTGTAGGAGCAGAGGCGGATCCAGAGGTCATGGGCTGTAGGGGCAGAGGCGGATCCAGAGGCCATGGGCTGTAGGGGCAGAGGCGGATCCAGAGGCCATGGGCTGTAGGGGCAGAGGCGGATCCAGAGGCCATGGGCTGTAGGGGCAGAGGCGGATCCAGAGGCCATGGGCTGTAGGGGCAGAGGCGGATCCAGAGGCCATGGGCTGTAGGAGCAGAGGCGGATCCAGAGGCCATGGGCTGTAGGAGCAGAGGCGGATCGAAAGGCCATGGGCTGTAGGGGCAGAGGCGGATCGAAAGGCCATGGGCTGTAGGGGCAGAGGCGGATCCAGAGGCCATGGGCTGTAGGGGCAGAGGCGGATCCAGAGGCCATGGGCTGTAGGAGCAGAGGCGGATCGAAAGGCCATGGGCTGTAGGAGCAGAGGCGGATCCAGAGGCCATGGGATGTAGGGGCAGAGGCGGATCGAAAGGCCATGGGCTGTAGGAGCAGAGGCGGATCCAGAGGCCACTGGCTGTAGGGGCAGAGGCGGATCCAGAGGCCATGGGCTGTAGGGGCAGAGGCGGATCGAAAGGCCATGGGCTGTAGGAGCAGAGGCGGATGTTGAGGCCATGGGCTGTAGGGGCAGAGGCGGATCCAGAGGCCATGGGTTGTAGGGGCAGAGGCGGATCTAGAGGCCATGGGCTGTAGGAGCAGAGGGGGATCCAGAGGCCATGGGCTGTAGGGGCAGAGGCGGATCCAGAGGCCATGGGCTGTAGGGGCAGAGGCGGATGCAGAGGCCATGGGCTGTAGGGGCAGAGGCGGATCGAAAGGCCATGGGCTGTAGGAGCAGAGGCGGATGTTGAGGCCATGGGCTGTAGGGGCAGAGGCGGATCCAGAGGCCATGGGTTGTAGGGGCAGAGGCGGATCTAGAGGCCATGGGCTGTAGGAGCAGAGGCGGATCCAGAGGCCATGGGCTGTAGGGGCAGAGGCGGATCCAGAGGCCATGGGCTGTAGGGGCAGAGGCGGATCGAAAGGCCATGGGCTGTAGGAGCAGAGGCGGATGTTGAGGCCATGGGCTGTAGGGGCAGAGGCGGATCCAGAGGCCATGGGTTGTAGGGGCAGAGGCGGATCTAGAGGCCATGGGCTGTAGGAGCAGAGGCGGATCCAGAGGCCATGGGCTGTAGGGGCAGAGGCGGATCCAGAGGCCATGGGCTGTAGGGGCAGAGGCGGATCGAAAGGCCATGGGCTGTAGGAGCAGAGGCGGATCCAGAGGTCATGGGCTGTAGGGGCAGAGGCGGATCCAGAGGCCGTGGGCTGTAGGGGCAGAGGCGGATCCAGATGGGAGGTTTAGGATTTCCACCATCACCCCAAGATGAAAACCAAATGTAGTATGTTGTTGGCAGTAAAATTAACTGAGAGAACCTTTTTGATATTTGGGACCGCTCTCTTTTAAAAATGCTTGTTTCGCCCATTTCTCAGACACCTTTACTTGTTAACCGCGCCCTCGGTCTAGTCACTTTGAGACCTGGGCCATGTTCTACAAAGCGATCTTAGTGCTACGTTGATCGTAAGCCTATGGTAAAATATGGGAGTTACGACCAACTTAGCACTAAGGTCGCTTTGTGGAAGCCTAGGCACAAAAGCGATCTGAGCGCTAAGATGATCGTAACTCCCATACTTTAACACAGGCTTGCATGGCCCTAAGACGGCAGTAATGACGTCAGAGATGTTAGGCACGCGCCGTGCGTCAGTGACAGAACAGGAACTGGCAAAGAGTTCTCTACTTCTGATGAGAATCGGTTCCAACTCTTCAGAAAGGATGGGGGAACAACGTCGACGAATGACACGTTGTTGTATTCAGGAGGTCGAGCTGTATGGTGGAGGTAGTGTCGTAGTATTGGGAGGAATCCGTGGTGACGTCAAAACAGACCGAGGGCCCGACCCATAAAGCGATCACAAGGCTATGTTAAAGTATGTCGTAAGGCTATGTTAAAGTATGGGAGTTACGATCGTCTTAGCGCTTCAGTCACTTTGTGGAACGGGGTCCTGGTCGTTTTCGATGCCAATCTGACTGCCCCACGCTATATCGACCAGGTACTTCGTCCCGTTGGCTTGCCTTTTCTGCAGCAGAATCCAAGCACCCTGTACCAACTAGGCAACGCCAGACAAGGCAAGGCTTACGACCAACTGTCTGCACGCCATGCCGTGGCAGCCAAGATTTCCCGACACGTCCCCTAATTATATATGGTAACGTTTATTTTGCTTTTCAGTTTAACTTCTTATAGATAGATGAAAAAAATAATTGTTAGATAATTCATGAAGATTGGGTGTCTTCAAATGACTTCACTCAAATGTACGAATTCTAATATTGCAAAAATAATATATATATTATTTGATCATTAATTGTAAAAGATGACTTCATATAAAAACCTAGAATTAAAATCAGTATAATGCATGCTAGATTTTGCTCAAATGTGGATAAAAATTAATTGACGTTCTCTTTAAGAAACACATCTTAAAGTGCAAAATATATATTTCTATTTGACTTAAACCTGGATACCACCAGAGCAAAAGAAGGGAGTTAACTCATGTAACCTTATGGGCAATAACAGCCCTTGGACATGGGGTGTCGGTTGTGTTTAAAGGGGGATTGACTCCAAAAGTACATTCGAAGGATCTGTAGCTGAAATGAAAATAAACTCCTTAATGGTAGCAGAACACGCATGTTTCTCTTTCGATCCTTAAACTCACACTACATGTTATTAGAAAATATGGGGCGGTGGGGTAGCCCAGTGGTGCAATAGTCTGCTTGTTACGACGAAGGTCCGAGTTCAATTCCCAACATAGGTACAGTGTGTGAAGCCAATTTCTGGTGTCCCCGCTGTGATATTGCTGGACTATTGCTAGAATTCCAGAGTTCTCTAGATATTCCCACTCTTTAACATTGCCGGACTACAGTCTAAGAGTGAGTGAGTATGGTTTTACGCCGCTTTTAGCAATATTCCAGCAATATCACGGCGGGGGACACCAGAAATGGGCTTCACACATTGTACCCATGTCGGGAATCGAACCCGGGTCTTCGGCGTGACGAGCGAACGCTTTAACCACCAGGCTACCCCACCGCCCCTACAGTCTAAGATCCCTTTGTGGGGCAGTGCTGGATATATACATGTCTATGTTGGCAAACCCAACAGCTTCTTATTACCGAGGTACACAGACGACAAATAGCAGTTGCAGCAAGTTTACAAGCAGCGTAAGTGAGTATGGTTTTACGCCGCTTTTAGCAATATTCCAGCAATATGACGGCGGGGGACAACAAAAATTGAGATTCACACATTGTACCCATGTACAATGGAACCTTTAACCACTAGGCTACCCCACTGCTTCTTTTCAAGCAGAAATTTGGAACAGTACTCTACGCTTTAATTAGTCTGTATTTAATAAATTCTGACTGAAATAAAAACATTTTGGTGTATATTTTCTTTTGCCCGAAAGGTTATAAAAAAATCCATCTTCATAAACCCAAAGGGTTCAAAAGCAGATGTTAGATTGGATGTTCATGAAGATCAGAGGGAAAATCGACATAAAATACCACAATAAACAAAGTTCCAGCAACAACTGTTAGAAACATCATTGCTGGTGACCGATGGAGACCGTAACGCCACGTCCCAAGCCAATCTATGGAGGCGATTGGATCAAGATAATTTGTCATAATAGAATTAAATATAATAATCTGGATAATCAAGAGCATTGACTGTTTAAAGGTTTGAATATATATGAGATTTTCCAGTATGTATCATGCACATCTTGAAGAACATTTATTTATCTTTTTACAGCATGAAGTATACAAATTACAGAATCGCAAGTAAAGAACAAGTATATGTTTTAGAGTAGTGTGTTCACAGCCCATCAACACAATACACGCCCGATATGCACCAGTCCTGCCCTAAAGGCTGGCGCTCTTGTTTACAAACGCAATCTGTTTTATCCCTGTCAAAGTCAAAAAGTCAAAAGAAGTTCATTGTACAAAAGGCCTCCGGCCCATATACAAGAGAGAATTCCGCATGTAAATACAATCCTAAATGTTACACATTGGGATATACACGTTGTTTGATTAATTCATTTCTTTTGGCTAATGCATGCTTAATATATGGAGAAAGATTTGATATATTAGATTCGTTCTTTGCCGTCAGAATAATTGCAAAGGCGTTTATCGGTGACATTGCTATTAGGTGATCTTTTATATATCTCTTTCGAAGAATATTGTAAAATTGTCTTTACAGTGTATCAGATGGCCCAGTCGTCTACATTCGCTATGCAGAGAATCCCAGTTCGTCCCACATTAAGCTGACACGCCGAGATACAGCTGGAATACTGTAAATGTTCAAAGCGGCCTTAAACCATACTCACTCGCTTACAGTATATTAAAATATTTGGACTTCCTTTTTCCTAGTATGTCTTTTGAATCCTTATTATTTATCTCTCTAGTCACCCCTTCCACTCGATGACCCTATGGTACAGTATACTTACCTCTATACATGCATGCTTTACGGTCTACACCCCCCAGACACCCCAATACATGCTTGCATGCTTTACGATCTCCACCCTGCATACACCTCAATACATGCTTGCATGCTTTACGGTCTCCACCCTCCAGACACTTCAATACATGCTTGCATGCTTTACAGTCCCCACCCTCCAGACACCTCAATACATGCTTGCATGCTTTACGGTCTCCACCCTCCAGACACCTCAATACATGCCTCCATGCTTTACGTTCTCCACCCTCCAGACACCTCAATACATGCTTGCATG